CCGGCTATAAACACTTTATAAATACTAATTCATTTTAAAAGTATCCTCAGCTATAATTTTCAAGTAAAAAAAACCTCTTTCAAAGAATCTAAGAAGTAAATATTTAAACTTTGCACTGTGAAACTCTGGTCAGTAGGCGAGGTGAAGAACGCAGTGACGTCACATTGCTCCCCAACAGGGTTCGTGTTGGCATCATTCCCCTTCAAAGGGATGAACCAGCCCTGATGTCATTTATTGATATAAGTTTTGTGATGAGTGAACAATATTTATTTCATCCCCTAAATGTTAAATATTTCGTAAAGGCTACTTGTTCAGTTGTTTAAATTCTCAAGTAAATTACAAATGCTAGATTGTGTGTAAATGGGTCAATTTTAATGACAAGCCTACAGTTACTGCCAATTACATGATTGTTACATGAATTAAAAGTAACTTCAAATAAACCTTTTGGCAATGTTCATGTTTGTATTCATACATGTATATAAATTTAAAGCATTTAAATTAATTAGTAAATTGGAATAAAAGCAAGAAAATTCCACAAAATATAAAAATTGCAACCTTGTATAAGAGTTATAACCTAATACAGTACAAAGTCCGAGATCCGTGCGTCCAATATCCGGAATGATCTAAAATCTGGACCTCAAAGGCCACTACCAACTTTTTTAAAATTTTATTATTATATTTTTTATGTGTGTGATATGTACGCATGGGCATTTGACCCCCACCCCGCACACTATAAAACATGTGGAAAGTACAGATTCTTTATTTCACTTCGGCACTAAATAAAATACCTCGTTGTTGAAGAAACAATCATATTAGCATAAATTTGTTTGATCAATAATTTGGTTTCGTAGCTGCCGGTCTTACATCTCAAACCGAAACATTCTACAGATACATCGTTGATTTTACACCTACTAATAATTTATACCCCTGATAATTTATACCAACCTGGCGAATCATTATTTATATTTTGCTTTCATCACCACATGTTTATCAACACATGACAACTTGAGTAATGACTCATGGAACGATACCTAAACATTTTTTTTTAATATATATTAGTAATTGTAAAAGAGCATGGTATAACCTTTGATGTTGACATTACGCTTGGCGATGATTACAGATTTAAGTTAAATGCGCTAAGAAATGCTGACAGGAAAAATTTAACAAAAATCTCTTTCCATATGCTAAAAGTAGATTTTGTTAATGATACACATAGGCCAAAATATTACATTTAGTGCTATTTGAACTCAATAACTGATTTGTTATTCACATAAACCCAGAACCAACGTCAGAGTTCACATGGCCGCACCAGGCAGCAGAATTTAGGGATGACAAAGGGAGGCGCTTAGTAGTATAATTTAAGCCCCACAGAGACTGCATCAGGCACCAGGCCTCAATAAGCCTTAAGTATATGTGGCAATTTATTTATCCGGGACTCAGATAAGCACTAAGCATGTGCAAGAAATAGACATAAGTATAATAAATAAACTAATACAATTTAGGCTTAATTGTCTCAGTGCGCGATAGAAGCAAGATACAGTCAAATACCGAAAATCCACCGACCTGAAATCCGCGTTGCCTCTCAAAATATAAACATTCAGTTTATAGGTTCCGGAAACCGCAACATTGAGTACGAAATATCGAAGAAAAAATACTTACTGAATAATGACATCATAATTACAGAATAACAATGAGCCATAACGGAAATACCAAATTATTGACATCATGATAAAAGTTTTTCCTCTTCTAATCTGCATCAAGGTAAGAAAGCAGATGATTCACTCAACTCTTCTTTTAAGTTCACAATTCACTTGTATTTTCTGAGCTTTGTTATTTCACAAGATTATTTAGTGCTGCCTTTTTTTTTTTTTTTTTTTTTTTTTCAGATATTTTGTGGATAAATTAAGAATATTTTAAGTTTCAGCCCTTTTTAATACAATTACAGAGTAGAAACGCACTCATGATTTGCTTGCAACATTGAAAAACATAAACACGTTGCATTGACGGTAATGCAAAAAGTGCAAATTCTGCAAAAGATGGAGACAAGTGCTACTCCTCGGTTTATAGCAGAATTGTATGGAATTGCGATACGATCGTGTACGATATAAGGAAAAATGTAGAAAAGCTGTTGAAATTTTAGCAATAATTTCAAGAATAAAATCAAATGCACTTACCATGAATGAATGCTTTTTCGAACAGCAGAAATACCAATTTCATGCCGCCACGTAATCACTATCGTATTTATATGACAGCCAGACACACACACTATCCAGAAAATTCATACTATGGTTCACAAATAAATGTTCAAAACCTTCTTTTCCTAAATCCTTGTAAGATTTCCAGCCATCCAAAAAAATAGTTGTACAATGCTCAATCCACTCTTTAATATACTCCATCAGCGTTTCCTTACTTCTATCATGCACAGTCACTAAAAATAATCTCACAGACCCTCTTGCAACCACATCTCTCATTGCAACATAGGCCATTTCTACACGCACGACACGAATCAAAGAGCAATTAAAACACTCCAGCAAAAGAGTATTCAACGTCAAAAGGGTTGCCATACAAGACGTAATCACGCCAAAAACCAGCACAGAACACATATCGCCACATTTAGTGATCTTAGGGCGCATATAAGAGTAAAGCCGAAATTGCTTTGAACATTACCATTCATTAATTAAATACTAATTATCAGTGATTTTCTATTTATGCACCAGCCATGGTTTTAGCACCTGTGAAAGAGAAGCCAAGTATGCAGATAGCACCATCAGGGGACCAAATCAGCTGCTGATTCACACACAAAAATGCATGGCAGTGGATAACAGAAAAATACACATACACACAAATATACGACAGACTTATAACAGAGAAGTACCTAATTATTATTCTGCACACTATTTTTTTTTATTTTTATAAAAATTATGAATAAATTTATGCATATTCAGTCCATCTTTCTCATTTAAGTTTCTTCAAATCAACAACATTAATAAATTATATAACTGATTAACACTGACAATAACTGAATTTGTCAGCTATATGTCGAAAATCCCGTCTGCTGACAAATTGTTACACATTCATTTGGCTTTCTTAAAATAAAGGTTTCTGTGTAAATTCATTCTTACAAGCCTGGTTCTGTACATCATTACTTCCATCCACAGCACTTTAGGGCTAATCTTTGGAATATGGGTAACAGGTAGTTTAGCGACATTTCGGTAAGGCGATAAAGGTTACTAGCTATGACTTTAGCAGTGTACATGGATAAAGTCAAGAGTGTGCGCAATGCCATTTTTGTGCAATTCTGGGATGTTTTTTTAAGTGAAAATAGATCGACGTGTACATGAATGATACCGTGTATGTGCAATTCTTAAAAATGCGGCAAGCAGTGGGCGATTCTGCACTTTCTCCCAATTTCGCACTTAATCTTCGTCATGATTAAGCAGTTTTGTTCCATAAAAGTTCTAGCATAAGCGTAATTTGACTAGCAGATTGTTGGAAAAAAAATGTTGAGTTAAAAAAAAAAAAAAAAACACTAGCGAAGTAAAGCAGGGCGGTTTTACATAATTTCTGAGTAAGCTATTCATACGAATTAAAATAATTCTTGCATTTAAACTTGTATTACAAATTAATGTAGATAATTACTGAGAGAATTAGATTTTTGTAGTGTAGTTTACATGAGATGAGATCGCTTGGGGTCACATGATTCGAACCGGTGAATCGGTATGTTGAACCATAAAAGCATAGTAAATTCTTAAATTTATGTCTTTTACAAATGTATTGTCTTTTTACAAACATTTAAACCATATTAAAATGTTTATGCCTTCAAAATAAAAAATTCTTAGAATTAACATTTTTGGCTAATCTTTGGAATATGGCAACAGGTAGTTTGGTGACATTTTGGTAAGGCAATAAAGGTTACTAGCTAGGACTTTAGCAGTGTACATGGATATAGTCAAGAGTGTGTGCAATGCCATGTTTGTGCAATTCTGGGATGTTTTTTTAAGTGAAAATAGGTCGATGTGTATGTGCAATTCGTAAAAACGCGGCAAGCAGTGGGTGATTCTGTACTTTGACCCAATTTCGCACCTAATCTTCATCATGATTAAGCACTTTTGTTCCATAAAGTGATTAAGCACTTTTGTTCTAGCATAAGTGTAATTCGGCAAGTAGATTGTTGGAAAAAAATATTGGAAATGTTGAGTAAAAAAAAAAAAAAATGCCTTTACTTTGTGAAATCAAAACGGCGTCCAAACCAAAACTAGCAGGTTGCTGTAGCAGGGTTGGTCGCCAAAAATCGCCAAGTTACCATAATCCAAAGATTAACCACATTTTTTATATATATACTGTATGCTGTTGCCAACAAAATCTGCTTGGTGAGATTTGCGCTGGTGAAACAGAAAAGTACCTAGCCAAATAACTTTTTTTCATTTATACGCATGTAATCATCATATAACTAAGAAGAGCTTTCTCGGGGGGGATTGTAGAGCAGCAGGCCTCCCCATGCCACACCCTGGATAATGCTAAATCTGCTACGTTAATGAGATTAATTAATCGTAAGCAAAATCTTTTCCTCTATTACGTGCTTCCCAACAATGTTTACTTCAGCACTTCTTTTGAAGCACTATACATTCAGTGATCCCACTTTGGGCACACAAACAGAATTAAAATAGTAAGGGCTATCTTTAGAAAATTTTACCTCTATGTCTGATTAATCTGCCTACTTTTTTTTTTTTTTTTTTTGTTTTTTTTTTTTTTTGTTGTTGTTGTTGTTGTTGTTGAAATTCCAAATTTAAAAGGTAGTATGCCCAAAAGTTAATACATACATATTGCATAAAATACCTAAGAAAATTATAAGTTCAATAACAGCACAAAACAGACAATAATCATCAACTTTCTAATTTACAGCGCGTTTGACAACAAGAACAATCTTTTCAAAGGAAAATGTATAATTTTATATTTTCAGTTAATGGTTCATAAACTTTAAGTAGAAAAAAGAAAAGTACCTTGATTTTCACAGAGCATGCTAGATTTTCAGGTTTGAAATTAAGCAAACATCTTCAAGATCAGAATTCACTATCTGCTTTCTCAGCACTTGAATCATTTTTTGAAATCACAAATCTGATTCTGAAAATGCATAAAAGAAACACTGTTAATACATTTTCAATTATCTGAAACATATAAGGGTAAAATCCTAGTATACGGTGCAGCCTTGGCGTGATTTTGAAAATTATCGCCAACACCAAAAATGACCCAAAGAACATCTATGTATATACTATACACTATATACATAGTATATGCTATGCATAACTATATATATTCTTTGAATGACCCGTTTACTACTCATCGTATATGTCCCATTTTTACTGCTCATCATAAAGTCTGAAAAGTAGCCAAATCCTGTGTGCACCGGATACTAGGATTAAACCCATATAATAAATTAAAAACTCTCATAACAGACATTATAAAATATAAAATTAGATATATTATAAAATTACAAATATTAAACATAAGCTGCATTACAGGAATTTACATATATTCTAAAAACATCAGACTTTTAAAACACGTCATTTAAAACATTTATAAAATTAAATATTTTCAGTATAACTATAAATCTATAATTTTAAATGTGCATCTATTAGACACCTTAAGCATGACAAAAGTTTAAAGATTTATGAAAACATCCCATTCAAATTTCATATTCGAACATGAAAACACATACAAAATTATATATAATTTCTTTTTTATCATATGATTTAAGCTTCACTATAAAACCCTGTAAATATTCTTAGCATAGTGGCACTGTATCAGTTCACATAAGGTGATAAAATGATGCATGAAACAGACCCACTAAAAAGAGTATTTCTTTAACCCCGGCATACCATAATCTCATTTCTAAAGAATAAATAGATAATAATAATAAATATGTAAATAAATATAATCATCATCGTTTTGGGTGTTTAAACCTCATTATTTCTTACAAAGATGGATTGAAAAGCAACAGATCGTAACATTTAAAGTTACAAAATTAAAAACTAACTCACAAAATCGTTTTCATATATTAAATTAACTATAAACTTAAGTGGTCAACCAATGGACACAACTGTTCATTTACTTCACTCGTTGACATCATATCTCAGAACACAAGCGTAATTCAAAAAGTTTCGTTCTTCGGCGAGCATGTCAATGACATGTTGCCAAATTAATGTGAAATTCTAACAGTTTACATTTTATCAAACTTCTTTGGGCATACAAGCGGCTCTATTTGAATAAATAAATAAAATACGTTCATTTTCTTAGATATCATTGTTGACACATAATTCAAAGCCAAATCATATGAAATTAAAATGAATTAGCAATTTGATATGCAAGCAGTGCGTCTACATAATTACTAGGCTGATAATTAAAGGAAAAAATGTACGAATAATTTTATTACTATTTTTGAAGAGATTGAGCTTCAGTATCATTTATTTTCAGCACATTATTCAAACATCAATAACACGTTTTTTCAAGTTTCGGTATCATGTACATCCAGATCTGGCCTAGATATCTAGTTGGCCTTGGTCGGCCTCAAACACATTACGAGGCACGTTTTTCTCAGGCAGCATGCTAAGTTGTTCTCAGTGAAGACTAAACAAAGGTAAATTTCAATTTGGATTAAAAATATACTTAATTTTTATGGAACGCTAACCTACGAGTAGTCGAATGTAGCAGTGATATAGAGAGAAGGCTGGTGCTGGACCCGTTTACTTTCAACTGCAAAGTTACATCAAGAGACTTGAAAAATAATTCACGCTAATTTTTTCTGACAAGCGACAACTAAACAAAGGTAACTTCAACTTGGATTAATAATATGTTTAATTTTTAGGGGATGCTAATTCACCAGTAATCTATTAAACCAATAATAATGAAAAAATGCTGGAGTCAGACCTGTTTACTTTACTTTCAACTACAAAATTACATCATCAGAGTTGAAAACTAATTCATACTATGCCATACAGTGATCAAGATAAAATATCTAAATCTCAAACATTGTTAGGAAATCGCAAATTCTCTAGATAGAAAGTGCTGATTCCCAGCACAAGCATATTTTATTTATTTATTCCCTTTAACTAGCAACAACAAAAAGAAACAAGCAATAAAAGCAAGTAAAGAACTTTAAAAAAAATTATGCTGAATATATAATTATGTGTATATTATAGAATAAAAAACTGTATTTGAAACGTTATTAGTGGATTAATTTGATGACGGCGGTATGAAAGAATATAGGTACAGAGTAAATCTGGTTTTATATTTTGGTACTTTCTTAACGAAAACAAAATATCTCAGTGTTATTCCTTATAGAAATCATCCCTTTAAATACCATTTCTTTCTTAAAGCGAAAATATTTCGGTGAGTTGTTGCTGCTACTTCCCTCACTTATCAGACAGTAATATCGCATCAACTTCTCAAATTTTATCATGAGGGAGAGAAAAGAGTTGTTTGCATTTGTCATTTCTCCAGACCACTTATCAGACAGTAATAGCAAATCAGTTTCTCAAATTTTATCGTGATCAAAAGAAAAGAGTTGCTTGCATTTGTCATTTGTTTAGACCTAGAGCATCTTATAGATGACAGCACAAAACTGCGCAGCTCCGCTCTTTTGATACAGTATTAGAATAGCTGACTGCTACAGCTTTGAATCCGGATTCGAATTTCGGCGAAAGTATGGATGAATAGTACCTTGTGCGTAGTGTCTTTATAGCATGGGATCACTTATAATGCTCTTAAACCAAGAAAGTCTTCTTGAGAGATTGGTGAAAGTGGAATAAGGATAGACACCCTCAGATACTATTCTCGGAAAATTCACGAATCTCAAATCATTTAATATCATCCATACAGTTATGTACTTACCATCAGGCAAAAACAATAGCCTTTTCCTAATATAAACTTTCAGTTATCTTTGAGCTCTATTCAGACCTCTTTTTTTTTTTTAACTCCATCTGAGGGTATGTTCATAAACCATACCTCTGAACATATTCAGAGGGATAAACTGTGGCGACTAGTTATACAAGATTAATTACTTAATACAAAGTTCTTAAGCAGATGGGCGGTGTATTGTTTAAGATTAATGTCCTATATCAATGAGTTCATGTTTGAAGTTGGCAGCATAATTTACCTGGTCGATTTTTTACTGCTTTAGAGTAGAAAATTTTATTGAGCTTGTTAATGAAGGATTGTACGTTATCAACTTTATGATCAGGGCGTAAATATTTTGTTGCGAACGAACCAGGGGCTTACTGATTTTTCGTAGAAAATTATTTTACAACAAAGGAAGAAGCCACCGCCTTATTTATACAAAAAGCAAAGTAAAGCGAACGAGCAGGTAGTGTCATCTGTCCACAAAAATAGTAAAAGCATAAAAAAATAAGTTAATAGAATTTTAAAAGCATTAAGGAGGACTAGATTGGAATTAAAGTCGTTAACTAAACAAGATAAGTTTTTATGAAAAGCTTCAAGGAAATCTGAGTCATCAACTGAAGATATATATATTTTGGATAAATTTTGCACAAACCATATTCAAAATTGTGATTAAATTTCTAACTATGGTTAGCTACCGACGATTTTTTTATTTCAACTTTACAGATATAAGATTCATGGACCTTGATGTATAGTTTTAAGCTTAGCAGTTAGAATAGACCCTCAAGTTTAAGAGTTAGATAAAATAAAAATATAGAACATAAAATCTTATATTTAAAACGAGCTATTCGAAATGGTAAATCCAAATGGTAGAACCAAAGTTTTTGCTATGCTGTTATTTCGTCTTTAATTAACGGTACGTGAAGATTTGTCTACTTTAAAAAGGAATATTTAGTTAAGACCGAAGAGCTAGATATTTAAGAAGACAACTGTTTCCCTCCAGTGACAATGCTTTCTAATTTGCGAGGATGCGAAATTCGTTATTTTAAAATAAATAAATAAATAAATAAATAAATAAACATTTCGAAGTGATTAAAGAGAGAAGAAAAAGTAGTTCAGTGTTTCTTTTATGTAATAATTAAATTTTTATTTAATCATTACATAAAAGGTTTTATGTGTGAAAGACAATATCGACATAGTCCAAATTTTACACCCTGTTTTGATTGCCTTTGAAAATTGTAGATAATAAAAACTGGATCGGTTAAGCATATTGATGTATTTCAAGCCTATCGTAGCATCCAAAACAGATGACCAGCATTCAGAAAAACAAGCAAAGAAACAACAAGCATGATAATTTAATGCATCGATTCTCAAACTGTGAGGCGCGCTCCCTAGGGGACGTGATAATACTGCATGCAAGCCCCGAGCAGATCGAAAATATAGCATAAGAAACTGATTAGCTTATTGAAAGAAAGCAAAGTAAAAATATATTTACACTGATACAATACACTTATTAATAGGATTGCAACAATATTGCACAAGGTAGTTAATAATTAACTTAACAACACTAAATTAAAAAAACAAGCTTAATAATTACGAGGGACTTCTTTGGGCCTGTCTTGCAGAACAGAGTTTTTGGAAGGAAGGTTTAATATTTAGGTACAGACAGTGTGAGCTCTTTTCTGTATTTTACCTTTAAAGCAGTCACTGCAGAAAATCCGATTTCGAAAAGGTTGGATGCTGAAAATGGTAATAGCATACGAAATGCTCTTGTTTTCAGTGTAGAAAACTCATCATCCACCTCTGCCCGAAATTCAGAAATTTTGAGACTTGCTGTGAAATGTATGAAGATTTCTTCTTCGGCAATTAAGAATACTTCGGGAGCATTTTAAAATATATCATTAACCCACTCGCAACTTTCTACCAAGTCAGCAAGAAAATACTTTTTAAAATTCTTTGCCAGCATAGCTTAATGATTTTCAGTGGTTACATAAATAACTTCCACATGTTGTTCTACAGCCTTGCAAATTTTAACACATTCATCCCACATTTGCAAATATGTCTAGGTGTTTTGCTTTAAATTTCTGCTTCACAATTTCAGTTTTCTACAAAATTCATTAACTTTGTTTATTATTCGCATCCAACATATGTGTATTACTTCTTGGGAATATTTTCCCAGATGTAGTGAATTTCAGTGGCTATAAATCCAACAAATTGCTGTAGTTAGTAGATAAAACAGGACGGCGAGGACTGTTTTTACGCTTCTAGTAGTTTGGCATTTTATGTAACGAACAAGAAGATAATCTTACAACATGGATAAGTAAAACAGTACATACGAAATAAACTGACGTAAATCTTACGCAGGTAAGTCTGTGAGAAAAGTGTCACATTCAAATTAAAATTCCTAAGGTGGATAAAGCCCAAACGTGTGTATTCAGACATATGTTTTATACAGTAGACAAATTTTTGTAGCTGTTTCGCGAAACTGTCACATTTTTGATTGCAAACTTTCTTCTGAATGAAAAGGAGGCGGAGGCGGGAAGGACGGCTATACTGTTTCTGAATTTTTCTTTTTTTTATTTCTAAGCATTTTACTTCTTAGCAATTTTATTTTTGTTATTAAATGTTAGAAATTTTAAAATTTCACTTAGTAATCGAAGGGCCAGACTGGGAACCATGATTGCACATAAATCAAATTAATTACTCCTTAAATTTGCGTATTGTACAGCATTATCTTTTTTTTTTACTTAAATCAAAAACAAAATAATAATAATAATCAATCTGAATGGGCTCAGATTTTAACTTAAAGTTTTAAAGAGCTCTTTTAAAGTTTAATATGGTTTGCCAAAACAGATTGCCCAAGTGAACGTTTTATAGATTGCTAGATGAATATTTAAACTAACATGTGAACGTTATATATCTTCTGTATATTTGAAAAGTGAAAAAATATATAATATAATTCGTAAAAATATTTAATGTTTTTATTTACTATATTTCGTTCGCGTATTTTTACTACTAGCCTTTTTTTTAAGCCAGGTTCTGGAAATTTCAAAATATTTATGTAACAGTTCCCTGCAGGGGCGTAGCTAGAGAGGGCAAGGGGGCATCTGTCCCCGGGCGCAGAATCCAAGGGGCGCCAAACTGATGTTACGACATTTTAGAATTAAATGTTTTCCATCCTTGGCAAGCAGTAGGGAGCGCGAAATCTTCAGTTGTCCCTGGGCGCTGAAAACCCTAGCTACGACTCTGGTTCCCTGCCTCAGAACATTCAGAGAACGAGCTCCCCCTAAATTTTAAAATGGACTCGTCCACGTACGGCTTGTTTTCGTCTTACTGCAAAAGATAAAACCTGACGAACTATCTGCGAAGTTCACGCCGAACTTCGCAGAACTACGGTCTTTTCTAACTGCTGAACGTTATGCCAACCTAATGCAAGAACTTACCAATCACAGCGAAGCAAAACGAACCGATATTCGGAGTACGACTTCGTAGAGTTAGTTGCATATTCTCTTTTTCTAATTATTTATGGATCATTTGAGGCATCTTATTGGATATTGTAGTGTTAATATTACTATGTATACTTACAGGAATATAGGTTTGTTTTAAAGAAAAATATTACGATAATTACGTAGTGTTTATGCATGACTGCTTTTGAATTTTTTATTTTCTTGTTGTTACCGCTTCCTTCAGAAATTAAATTACTCGCATAGTTTTCCGCTTTCAATTTTCCGGTGATCAAATTATTAAAGAAAAAGAAGGAAAATACTCGGGGAAATATGGTAGGTATATCAAGAATTGTATACAATTGAATTTTCTTTAAATCAATCACATTAAAATTCGGAAACTGTACATTTTATTGTGGTAATAATATACTTGTTGCATAGTTTGTTGATCAGTAACCGAGAGATCAAATTTGAAAGATCCTTACATTAAGAACTCGAATGAAAAGTGAATGGTTTACATCGAATGAAAAGTGAGTAATCCGTTTACAGTGGATGACATTTAAAGTAAATCAACGCAAAATAGAGATTCGAGAATTCACTTTCTGGTAAATTAAAGTGCATAAATAAATTATCAACAAACTTGAATTTATTGGATGGAGGAAAAAAAAAAAAAAAAAAAGAACAGCAAACGGTCGAAAATAAGCCATTAAGAGAAGTTGAGATGACATTTTATGGATCTAATTATTAAAGTGATTCTGGTCAGTTTTATTAATTTCAGTTAATTAATTGATTAATAGTTTTTACGGTTGAAACGGAATATCTATATTCTTTTTTCTCTGACGTGTCTATATAACTACAGTTTATATAACTTAACAATTATAAGAAACCAATGAAATTATTCTACGTTATTTCCTCTTGTTTTTCAGAAATTTAAAATAAAAGGCAGCACAATTTTCTTTTCCGAATTTTTTTTAAACCCAATGGCGGTCACTTGCCTGTTTAGCAGTGGCCACTCCTAAGTGGCATTTGCCTATTCAGCAGTGTCCATCTCCTAAGTGGAATTTGCCTATTTAGCAGTGGCCATCTCCTAAGTGGAATTTGCCTATTCAGCAGTGGCCACTCCTAAGTGGCATTTGCCTTATTCAGCAGTGGCCACTTCTAAGGCCAGAAGTAGTGGCCATTTCATTTTGGAGGTACCCAATAGGCGGCCACCGTCGCCTCCTATGAAGGGGAGGAGAATTACAACAGTGCCTTCTCCGCGATTCGAACCAGGGACCTTTGGGGCCGCAGTAGACTTTCCTAACCACTATACCATCTGGTCGGCTTTTCGAACAAAACCGAGCATAAGGTTTGTATCTCTTATGTACCTCTTCAAAGAAGACAGGTGTGGCTCAATTTTGTACCGCAAATGACTGTTGATGAAGTAACGTAACTCTTTTTACCTCAAGCCTTGTCCAGTATGGTTTTTACTTGTGGAATAATGTTACTTTATATAAAGGGTGATTCTAAATTGTTTTTACAAATTAAGAGGGGTGATAGTACTCATCCAGATGAGCAATAATTACCATAGAACATAGGGTCGCATTCCACTCTGAGAGGCAGTAAAGAGGAATATTAGAATTCCAACCTGAACTTACAACAGTGTTGGGATGCAAATGAACGAGACCAAAAGTTGCACAATCGGTTTAGTGAAAAACTCACAGAAAGTGCACAAAACGAATAAAACCGAAAACTTGGCGTTCGAGTGTTAATTCGAGCTCAGACTTTGATGGCAAAAACTCCAATGCACATCTTTAGTTGGCAATGTCTCAACCTTCCAAACGATCGCAACAAGTTAATTATGTAATCAAGGTTGAATATTATCAAATTATTCCAACTTCCGCTCTATGTCAAGATTAGCATATGCTGTGTTCCGGCTGTCAGAACTTCGTGTCCCATAGAAGGGCGCTTCAGATAGACTGAGCGCAGCACAGTAAGTCCAGGAGGACAGGATAAAAGATGGCGAAGGGGGAAAAAACTGCTACCTTGATATCAAATATCAAGGTAGCAGTTTTTCCCCCTAATAGATAATTTCCCCTTAATAATTTAGATAATTAACTTGTTGCAATCGTTTGTGGGGTTGAGACCTTGTCAACCAAAAATGTGCATTTGAGTGTTTGGCATCAAATTCTGAGCTCGAATTAACACTCGAAAGCCAAGTTTTCGGTTTTATTCGTTTTGTGAGTTTGTCACTAAACTGATTGTGCAATTTTTGGTCTCGTTCATTCGCTCTCCCAACACTGTTTAAGTTTAGATTGGAATTATAATATTCTTCTTTTCTGCCTCTCAGAGTGGAATAAGTACTATCACCCCTCTTTGTAGAAACAATATAGAATCACCCTGTATATCCAAAAGCATATTTAAGCGTTCTGGGTTTGCATGCAAAACGTGTAATTGTTTTTAGAAAAGTGTTTTGGTTTCTTTGATATTAGAAATATTTTTGGTATATGGAACGGACCATTACGAAAAGTAAAAGCAAAAGACATTTCGGATATACATAATTAAACCGAGAACCTAACGTCATTTCATGTTTACATCCCTTGTCTCAGAATAGGAAACTGAATTTCTGTTCATTTCAGTAGCATTTTTGATGGAAATTTTCTTCTTGGATTAGAAATTCGATCATCTTCAGGAATCTCAGCATGAAATTTTGGTATTGAGCATCACATCTCTAAGGCGACCGCTTGCAAAGATGAATTTTTATTTGCGGCTGGTCGCCTTAGAGAGACCTCGTTGTGTGTGGTATATATGATTACTGTTATTGTTTTCGAAAAAAAAATTAAATCAAATAAATAAGCATATTTAGTAAAAATTCTGTCTAAAACGACCACCTGCGTTTTCATGTTACTCTGATGGTCTTAAAGAGATCATATTTTCATTCTGTTAATTTTATTGTTTACAAGAAGTCTATTAACTTCAGACAGAAAAATAGCATAAACCCATATAAATCAATAGAAGATTTATTATTATATTGATACCAGTTAGAAAACCAGTAAAAGTCAATATAAACCAATACAAACCAGTAGAAAGTTCTGACATTGATGTTGGTTGTATGGGTGTCAATTGATACCAGTAAGAAAAACCCACAGAGATCAATAGAAACCAGTAAAAGTCAGTAGAGACCATCAAAAATTCTATAAGTACCAGTAGAAAGTTTTACTGGTTTCTATGGGTCATTTTGAAACCAGTAAGAAAAACCTACAGAGACCAGTAAAAGTCAATAGAAACCCATAAAATCTTTATGGGTACCCATAAAAACTTTTATTGGTTTCTATGGGGCATTTTTAGCAGGGAAGCATTCTTGAAGAAACTGATAATCTTAATTCCAAAGGATATGTAATGTAATGTGCTGGAAACCTCCTGCCCGATAATAATCGGCCTCATAGTTAAAGCAGCACATCCAACGCAGATTAAAACAAAAATACAGTTAAAAACATCAAATCAAAATTTCAAATATTCATTGTCATTTACAAAGTTTAACAAATCCTTTGCAAATCTAAACTCATTTCTGCAGCAATAGAATTCCTTTACGGTACTATGCTTTTCCCTAACATAACATATCGTAATTATATGCAGTCTTCGACGAAATGTCATGCATTGCCTTCAGCCTTTCAAAAATTACAAAGACTATTATTTTTCGAATTAAATCTTTTAAGGTCCTCCAGGAAGCGTCGTGTCCAGTAATTATTTTATTATAATCAAAATCACACATCATTCTCATATTTTCAGAAACTTCAAAGTTCAACAAATAATCTTTCCTTTTCTCCGAAATGTTCCATTTCTCTTTCCAGCAATTATAATAGAAATCCTTGATTTTACCTATAACAATTGTTTTTTATGCCTGAATATCGAACGCATTCCCTGCATTACCTATAAAATTCCAAAGAATAAATAAATACGTAAACAAAATGAAAATTATACAAAAATTCAAATCTATTCGAACTTGAGATAAAATTATTGAAGATAATATTCCTAAGGACAGCGACTGGCAACAGCCGAGAACTGAATGAAAGTATTAAAAACAACGAGGTCTGGCTGGAAATGCTTCAAAGAGAAATTCCATAGAGGTAGAAATATTACGCAAAGGTTACTTTTACCTCCATGGAGAAAATGACGTCTGTCACAGTTTGTGCCCATCCAAACTTACGAAAAGAACTTTTTTTCAGCTTTTATAGCTCCTCTTATCACAATAAAATCTTTTAATTTTATAACTGTAATATCAACTGTTACAGTGTACATATTATACATACCCAGTTACAGTGTATATATTTGTGTGTTACAGTGTATATATTTGTGTGTATTAATAGTTTTTTCATCACACGCAATTGTCAGAAATTTTAAATTTATTCATATTACAATTATCGTTAAGCAGTAATGAAAATGGTACTTATTTTACAATTAAAAGTTAAATGTCTGCTATTTTAACAACGCATTTGTAAAAATATTGTAACGAATTTCATCGTCGGTATAGGAGTGAATTACTACATAACTTCGGGGTGTTTCTGTCTTTTCCCTACTCAATGATATTTCGGTAACTGATGACTGGGTCCGATTAAGAATGTATCCTTCAATGGCACGTGTAATATTTCAGTAAGTTTCAAATAATGATGTATGTTTAAGTAAAAATGCACACAGGTAAAAAAATAACATTTATTTACAATTAAATAATACAATCAGTTTGTCAAAAATGATTTGTACTAGCAGATTGTGCATAATCAATAATCAGACGAAGGTTAAAGCACTATTATCTGAAAATAAGAAAAAAAAAAAATATTAGATATTTACCCAATACGAAAGTTATAGTAATGTCAAGAGTCAAGCAGTTTGTCATGAAATCTTAAACATAAAATTTTAAGAAACATTTCTACTTCCCCCCCCCTGAGATTTTTAATTCTAACATAACGGGTGTGAAATAATACGAAATATACACGATAACGATACACTAAAACAATGTAAATTACATACGAATTTCTATCTAATTTTACATCTGGGTTTGTTCTAGAAAAGACAAATTTAATACAGATAGATTTTGGGCAATAAAGACATAAGAATAAATATTTAGCAATAAATGCAAATTAGCAGTTTTCTCTATGTTTCTAAAATATTAGAACACTTAACAGCTAAACCGCACTGCTAGAGTAAGTCCACTTTATCGAATTCTCTAGTACTTTCGCAATTGTAAACGCAAAGATAATGTAGCAAATATTGTTTGATAATGGATAGGGAAACCATGATCACATACATGATACGAGAAATGGCTAATTTATTTACAGAATAGGATAAGTGAGTGAGGTTCCATGAGGCTGGGACAAATTTATTATTTCATTTCCTTCTTAAATTCTTTATACTATATTTAGAGAAGGAGAAATTATTTCATAACCGATATATATTTCGGACCTCGCTAAATTAATTAGTATAAGTGAAATCACCCTTAAATGCATGCTTGAAGAAGTGAACAGCTTTATCTGTGGATTGTAAGTGCTTTGGAAGCATTTGAAAGGAGATCAGACTAACCGTAGTCAGATAGTAAAAGATATCACTGAAACCAATTTCCTTCATAAAGATTTAGTGTGAAAGAACAAAGATAAAATTTTTATTCATTGATAGTGACAAATAAATGAAATACAAGAGGCTCATATTGTGGAAACCCTGACTTTACAAGCTCAGAACACAGAAAACTCCTGAGAAACATTTGGACATCATTTTAGGAAGGAGTATTTTGATTGCTTATTGATTATTTGCCACATAACAAAATGATAAGAAGTATTTATTATGCTGAACTCTTGATTCAGTTCTAACAAGCCATAAGATAACATGGCGTAGCAAACTCAGTAGCAAAGTGTTGCTGTTGTAGAACTGTGCTCCAGCACGGTGTCCGCCGAAAACATTGAGGCAAAAAAATCGCGGACGAAAACGTCGCGGAGAAAACAACGCAAGGGCGAAAACGTCGTGGTACAAAACATCGTGGGAGAAAAAGAGAGCAAAAACATCGGGATACAAAATATCGTGTTCGAAAATAAAGCAGTTTAAAAACTTCGTCGTCTGAAATATCGCGGAAAAAATAAAGCACCTACAAATCATCGCATGACGATAACATCGCACACATGCGTTTTTCGAATTAAAAAAAAATTTTGCATAAGGATTTGCAAGCGCAAGAAGGAAACAGGGATATTTTTACTTCTATATTTCATATTTTTGAATGAATTAATAACTTTTTACTGAAAAAGGAAGAAAACTTAAGTTTTTTTTCTTCTGAAAAAGATAACGTAAGCATTTAAAAATTGAAAATGAAAAGAAAATTAAAGCAACTTACAGCACTTAATTTTAAATTTACACAGTTAATTACAAATTTTATCAATTTTTTTACAAAGTTTTACTGATAATTTTTCATGAAACATACAGTCTAAAAATGTTTAGAAAAAGGAAGATACGTAACTGCAACGGCTTACCTCTATACAAATTGCTTAGTTAATTATCAAATTACTTTCTTTCACGTTTGTTATTGTGTTATTGTTTTAGTGAAAATTATATCTTTTTTTTTTTTTTTTTGTTTTGTTTTTTTTTTTGTTTGTTTTGTTTTACTTTTCCTTTATTCTTAAAGTGTACATTTTAACCCTCATTCCTTCTTGCGCTACCAAATCATTATGCGGAAATGCATTTACAACAATTAAAACCTGAAAAACGCATGTGTGCGATGTTATCGCCATGCGATGATTTGTAGGAGCTTTATTTTTTACCACGATATTTTCGACGACGATGTTTTTAAACGGTTTTTGACCACGATATTTTGCACCTCGATGTTTTAGAACTGGGATGTTTTCTCTTTGCTTTCTTTTCTCCCACGATTGTTTTGTACAATGATGACATTTTCGCCTTGCGTTCTTTTCTCCGCGACGTTTAGTCTGCGATGTTTTTGACTGTAACCCTCCAGCACAAAAGCTCACGGGTAGCTGTTGAGCTGATTTCCTTGACTGAGGTTCATTCAGCGGAGTTTTTATCTTTTGCGGTATTAACAACAGACTTCATTTTGCTTCAAGAACTGAAGCAGCATTTGCGTAATTCACATTACGGAAGCGATGATGATCTGAAAGATACTATTCGGAAATGGTATAAAATAACGAAATTTTTTTTTTAATTTACGATTTCAAATAAAAAACATTCAAACAGTGACGAAACATTTATTCTTTCTGCAGGAATTCAACGCTTACTGTATTAAAAGTACAGTACTGATCACTGCATTAAAAGCATCGAAGATTACTTTATTGGAAGCATCGCGAGAATGCAATGGATCACTGCGTTAAAAGCATCGAAGTCGAGAGGAATAATACGGGAACTGAGAAAGTAATTTCAAACATTTTATCTGGTACAAGTTCCCTATATTTAAAATTTAACAAATGATCTGCCTGTAGGCGAGGCAACAGTTCGCTACCAAATTATTTATAATGTGGTGGGCAAAGGGAAGCTCTAATAAACTTTATTTATCTTGCCTAAGGCCGCATAAAATGACATCGCGCAACTAATACGCGATGATTTTATGATGGGATTTAAACAATGACAGATTTCTCTGCCTCATTTGCCTTAACTGGACAGCAAAATTTTAACTTAAAATTAAATTTTATAATTACAGAATAAAAGATGTGTATAGAAACCAATTAAATCTTATTACTTACCACAGTAAGGGTATGTTAATGTTGTGTTGAGATAGAATTTCCGAGGAACTGTAGTAATACCAGTAAAATTTCGCCTATTGGTATAATATTCGTGATTCATTCCCATAACTGCGCAGTTGGATCCATTTCTGTAACATGACGTACACTTGCCAGATGCGAAGCTCTCATAATCTGGGCATTGTACTCCTATAATTTCACACTTTTTGGGATTAATTGATGCTTTGTAATATTGTACGGCTTGCATATGACTACACACTCTGGGCACCAAAGATATAGTAGCTAGAAGGAAAAAAAATATCTTATAAATCAAGGATTTTCATTGTGAAATCAAAAGGTTACTTATTAAGAAGTATAATTCTTTCAGTTTAAGCAATGAATATTACGAAGAACCGCTCAATGCTTAGTTAACCTTTTGAGGCCGGGAATTTGGTAGCAGTAAAAGCTACCAAAGGACGGGGAATCTTGAACCGAATGCCTTTCCCCCCTTTAAGAAATCACCTCCTATTTGCAATAAAGATTCTTGTGGGTAGTTTAATGGATTCTCAGAGGGGTGCATCTATGTCGCAAAAGGAAGACCTTTGAAAGAGATAAGTGGTTAAAACCCTAGGGACGTCAAATTTGACATTTCACCCCACTTTTCAGAGTGGAAAATGGGGGAAAAAGACATGGCCACTAAAGTGGACAACCCCGTCTTTTCAAAGAGAGGACTCTATGGCCACTATAATGGCCATCCCGTCTTCAAAAGGTTAAAGAAGTACCATGTATGTTCGTTACTAAACAGGATTGAATTTTTCAGAAGATATATTGTTGACTTTGACTTATTTTTACCTTTTTGTTATTTTTAAATTAGTGTTAGTGTTATATTTAAGTTATTTAGGCTAAGTTATTTGTATTATGATTATGTTATATAGAATGTCTGGTTTACGTAAATCACACCCTTCAACGTATGCAATCAATCAATATTAGCTTTCTCACTATGCTTTCTGGACACTGCAGATCATCCTACTAAATTTAGACGGTTTAGATCAACAGCTGTGTTATATTTCTACAAATGTCAATAATTTTCAAAAATGTTAAAATCAATTTCGTGGCTAAAAGACTGATCTTGCCAGAAATTGGAATCTTTAATAAATGAGTCTTAGCCATCTTTAAATTTTCTTCCTTCCATTTTCTTAGTAATACTCCTTAAATTAAGACTTTTGGAGGTATTACACTTGGTTTGTGTATAAATGCTCTCATACTAACGATCGTAGGAGCTCTTCAGGAAGTATCGGCGCACATGTCGTTTAGTTCTAACATGATTTCTTCATCTCACATGTCGCTTAGTTCTAACATGATGTGAGCAATTTTGTGAATGTTTTCTGTATCTTGGAAAATCGTAAAACGAATTTTGCTTACTTCAGTGCCATTTTCTTTTCAAAATCTCAACTTGCAGACTTTAATTTCTTTTTAAAGGTACCAAAGCCATATTTTTGCGAGCACAAAGTGGTGTAAAGAACGCTCCTGAACTCTACTAGAAAGACCTATGATGCTCTTGACTAGAGAGAACGTCGTTAGCAAACTCCTCACACTACGAGTCCTATAATTCAATTTAACACCTTATTTAAAGAACTGTGAATGGCAACGACTTAACTGAGTAATACGCATGCGTAAAGAGAAGAGACTTCTGTTCGGACGCCTGTCAGAGGAGTTTGGGAAGCTCCGCCAGCGAGCTGAGGTGTGGAGAGTAAATTTGTCCAGTGATGACGAGTGCTATCTTCTTTAACGTCTCTGATCGTGTCACCAACTCGGAAATGTACTCAAGTTTTCTAAATGTATTAATTAAATGTTGTATCTGTGGTATGTGCTGAAATTAAAGTGATGCACCACCAATACCAGTGTTGATTCGTTTTCACTGAAGCATCCACGACGTCACAGTGGTCAGTTCCAAATCTTGTTAAGAATATAGCGTATCTGACTTGAGGTTTGAAAACTAATGGTATTTTAAAAGCCTTTTTGGAAATTAAAATTTTTCTAAACATTTTTTTAATGCACTGTCGTCAGAATAAACTAATTTTGTGCTTATTTCTTCCAGTTTTTCAAATAAAGTTTTGATTACAAAGAAGCATTTTCTCAATTTGGAATAATTTTATCTTGTTATATTGTGCATCTTTAAGAACAGTTTATTCCCCCTCCCTTTTTTTTTTTTTTTTTTGTTTTTGTTTTTGTTTTTAAAGCAAAGTGCATTATTTAATATTTGCACTTAATCAGAAGTGGAAGATAACGCATTGTTTATGGCTTTCTATGACTAATGCATCTACAAACAATACTGAGTTCACATTTTGACGATTTCCGGCTTTTAGCAATATTTTGATTTCAAACTTGAAATGTGTGTGAGACGAAGGCTTTTTCTCCTTAGCTGTATCATTTGTCATACAAGAGAAATAATTTTTAGTCCAAAAAATAGTTTTCTTGTTAAATTTTAATATGAATTAAAAATAAAATTTAAAAAAAAATGATAAAGTTGTAGGGTTTATATTTATTTTAACTAACATTTATTTTAAGTTTAAACTATCTTTCCTGTCAAGCCTTACTTTCCCCTGGAATTGCCAATGCCAGAGTATGTAAATTTTAGTAGAACGCGCAAGGATTCAAATTGTCAGCGGAAGTAATCCGAGTTAAATAGAAGGGAAACGAGTTCGAAAGTGTGCTTTCTTGCTTCACGAGCGTGGAGGTGGCTAGTTAGAAATTGAAGAACCACGCGTTTCGGCCTGTGTGCTTGCCTCGGCAGATTGTTAATCTTTCAACGTAATATTCAGAAGTTTGTTGAATTATCAGCGGTATTTTAGAACGCGGTGAGGTTAGTTGCGTTTAGAGAGTCTCGTAGTTAGTCACTTGTTACTATTCTTTTCTTAGTTTCTTATTTTTATTTTACCGCCGGGTCGGCGTAGTTTGTGAGCGTCAAGAGCATGCATTTGTAATTTCTAAAGTTGAATAAAAAGGGATTTAAACTCTTCTCGAGACTTTGTCTACTTTGCAGTTCTTCTTACTTTGCAGTCACCACTACTGTTGCGTGCAGGTTGGAAGCGCGCAACATTACAAAGGAATCCCCACCCCCCAAAAATAATTTGTAATTTATGTTACTGTTTTAAACTTTATAAAAAGTACCTCTCAGAGTTTTATTTTTTCTTTTCGATTAGGGTAGCATTTTAGTTAATTAAATGGTTTGTTATTTAGGTTGGTTTACCTGCTTACTTGTTTGCTTATCAATTAATTAGTTTCTTTGTTTATGACGAACAAAAAGTTAAATTTTGAACCATTCTACTTGACAATTTTCTTGAAATTTTGCATAGATAAGTGCTTACAATGGCGATATAACATTTCATAGCTATCTTCAAAATCCAATATAGATATATAGATAGATTTTAATTCAATGTGGAAATTTCATCACTTAACTTTGCTTAATGAGCATAATAAGAGAATTCGACCTTGGTGCTAAAGGATGGATCAGGAAATAAGCTTCCAAATAATCTTTCTTCAGAATCCGTTGTGTAATCTATTTGAGTTTCAGTGATTTTTTTTTTTTTTTTTTCTAAAATCGGTCGATGTGTTGCTAGCAACCGATTTGATTTGGTTTAATCAGTTATGGCATTTTCCTCTCCTAATGGATGATTTTGTAAGAGAAACTGGTTTGTACACTCTACCCCAAAAGTTTAAAGACTCAAGTAAATTACATGCTTATGAAAAACAGAAATGTATAAAATTACCAAATTAGTATACATTTATTTGAAACACATGTGCCTCCCATTCAAGTAAATATTTAACAAAAATATCAATTTGTTGTCTAGAAAAAATAAATATAAAAAAAAAAAGTGTGTCCCAAAAGTTTATAGGCAAATGAAATTTTATGTAAATTTGTTAGCAACAATCATGATGGGGGAACTTGAGCCTTTTATATGATAATGCCCTCATTCAAATCTCCAATTTAAGAAAGAAAATGATCATTTGAACTGCGTTTAAATGTTCCTAAAAATACGCCTTTTCCTGAAGCTGAATTCTAAATCTGAAACTGCGTGGGGTCTGTTAAAGAAATTTCGAAACTTCTGAATCGATCTGTAAGTATGGTTTATCGTGTAACATCTCGTAAGACGCCACATCAGCCAAAACCATGGTTGGGAAAACCCCAAGTGACGGAGCGTCGCAGCGATGCGCAGACACAAACAATGGCTTCGACACAGAAAAAGTCGGTTTGCCAAATTACAAGGGTTTGTAGATTGCAAATATCTAAAAACACCGTTCATAGGCGAATAAAGAACCTGGTTATATGATTCACGCTAAACATGGTTCGATCTTTGGCGCTTTCGAAGCTTCACAAATGAATGAGATTGCAATGGGTCTGTAACAGCATCGTAATTATAAAAAATGGCTCGCTGTAATTTTCAGTGATAAAAAAAAAAAAAAAAAAAAAATCTGAAATGTTTCAGATTTTAAATTACGTCCAAAGGGGCGTTTTTTTAACATTTTGTGTGTTACCTTTCTTTATTAAATATCATGTTCCTCGCACTTAAACCATGAGATCCAGTGCAACAGCAATATCGCAAAATAGTTTTAAAACGAGCATATCTTAGAATTTCCGATACAGAGATAAAAATGTTTTTTCTGCACAACGTTGCCATTGCTCGCTTTGAAATCCTTGACTTTGTTAATCAAAAATTCGTCAAAGTTTTAAAAAATAGGAAATCGATCCTAAAACAAACTTCAAATTTCAAATTTGGTCTTCCACATGCTCATATTCGTTGGAGGATTACGTTATTCAAAATTCGATGACTCTATGTACCGTTATTTTATGACAATGTGAGAAATATACATACATTTACGCAGATTTTCATTATTTAATTTCTTCAAATATAATGCAGGACTCTAACATTTTATGGCAACAGTTTGAAAAGTGAACCGACATTTATCCGTCCGACGCAAAATGCCAAAACGAAACTAATAGTCCTTCGGGATTCAAATCCCTTTGGACTGAAAAAAGCCTCGGAGCTATTTTTAGTAGGACACTGAAAGAGGATCTGTTATCGTATGAGCAGCTTTCGGTTTCAACGGGCAAGTGGGTTTTACCACTGAGATGGTACGCAAGATTTGTCTAATTACATACAAACACTAAGAGACCATCTTAGCCATTTGCAGAAAACATTGGAAGTCAAACTTGTGTAAACCAGCATGACAATGTTCCAATTCATACTTCTAATGCTACAAAAAATTACTTAGACGTGGAAAATGTCGCTTTTCTTGAGTCG